TTCGGTTTCATTTCTGCAGCTTAGCTAGGGGGAAAAAAAACTGCTTCAGGAACTCTTTACACTGATTGCCTGTAGGGTGGCCCTTTGAAGCCCCGGGCAAGAGTTTAAACAGTTTTTTTTTCTTCTAGCCAACAGCTGGGGCTCAAGAGGCAGCGGGACTCAGGAGGCAGAATGAAAAATCGGGACTTTTTTGAAACGCCGTGGGACGCGGGACAAATTGCTAAAAATCGGGACTGTCCTGCCAAAAGCGGGACGTCTGGTCACCTTATACTAGGCCCAAAATGGGGTATGGGGGGAACATCCCCCCCGGCCAGTTTTTGTTCCCAGGGGGGTGCAGGAGGCCGACTGCTGCCTGTCACATACCCCAGCCACGTCCACCATGGCCATGCCCACCCAGCCAGTCATTAGGGCAGAGAACCGGTTGTTAAATTATTCGAATCCCACCACTGAACCACGCATATTTTCCAATTCAGTAGCTTAACAGAATAGGTTTGCATTCTGGAGAACTAAGAAAGAAACCTACAATTCACAGTAACTCAATCTAGTTGACAGTTCAGGACTGCTTCAGATGCCACCCACTTTAAGCAAATCTTCCACAGGTCCAACTTGCTGTCTTTCTCGTGAAGGCCATTGCTCACCTGGGAACATTTTTTTTTTCTTTTTAAGAATCACTTAGGGTTTTGAGATCCATCTTTTGTAAAGTCTTTAGTTTTCTACACCCACCTCAGCCAAAACCTTCCAGATAAATAAACCCTTCTTCTTTAATGGGCTACATTTTATTTACCTTATCTTTCATACATGCAAGCTCATTCATGCCATCACCCAAAAACACAGCACAAAGGAGGTGCTGTATTTATATCAACAAGTTATAACTTAGCATGAATGATAACCTCATAATAACCCTGATAAAGCTATGGAGAGACCACAGGTCAATTTTTGCAGAGAGGTCTATGAGACAGATTAGTATTATGTTGAAAACTCCAACACAGTATTTAGAAACTCATTACTTTTAATAGCTGAGTCCTGAAATATTTGATTCCAGGTGCCCAGCAGTCCATCTCATTGCCTAGGATTCTTACATACCAGTAATATCTGCTCTTTGGGGATTAATTTGAACTGCTTCAGAACCTTCAATTTAACCAAGCACTACACCACAGGTGTCAAACTCACCTCATCACGTTGATGTCACGTGATGTATCACGATGTTTTTTGCCTTTGCAGAGCAGGGGTGGGTGTGGCCTGTGCATGCTGCCTCCATTTTGACACTCCTGCACTACACTATGGATATTTTCAAAGCAGTTTTCCATAACGTAGCATCCACACTGATCCTCATATTGTGCCTGTTCAACTTTAATATTATTATCCAGAGAGGACTGGATTAAATAACATTAGTATTGTTAATAAGGATGGATAGCAAAGCTCAATTACATTCGGAGTTAGCTTTATGCTAAAGCTGAATGAGCACTGGGTTAGGTGCCAAAGCAGCCCCTCCTTCTGAAAACAAAGGATTTTTTTTCTAAAAATGCAAATCAGCATAGACAAGCGGCGGAGTATCAGCCAATGTGGTCTATGGGCACCCTATACTCCTGACCCAGCACCTCAATGCAAGTTGCAGAGGAACAAGAAGCTGATGGTGAAGTTGTGTTCAGGGCAGTGGTGAAATCCAAATTTTTTTACTACCGGTTCTGTCGGTGTGTCTTGGTGGGCGTGGCGTGTCTTGGTGGGCATGACAGGGGAAAGATACTGCAAAATCTCCATTCCCACCCCACTCCAGGGGAAGGATACTGCAAAATCCCTATTCCGTCCCCACTCTGGGGCCAGCCAGAGCTGGTATTTGCCGGTTCTCCGAACTGCTCAAACTTTTCGCTACCGCTTTTCCAGAACCTGTCAGAACCTGCTGGATTTCACCCCTGGTTCAGGGAAATTAAGAGAACAGAAGTTTAGACTACAGAGGGTCAGATCCAGCAGGATTCTTCTTACTTCCTTGTATTCTTAACCAAGGGGAAACTGAGTAAGTTTTGGAATACAATTTTAACCTATGCCTGAATCCTCTTGTTTCAGAAAACAGGCTCCTCAACTTGTGAGATTTTGCTAGCAATCATTTGCAGCTTTGAATTTCTATCCATGGAAGATCATAATTCCCTCTTTTATAATTTTGTTCTCTTGATAAAAAAAAATCCCCATGTTTTTTAGCTATGTGTGTTTTTGGAACTTGTATTTTGTTTGCCTTTTGGCAATGAATAACAAAACACATATGACTTGGATCGCTACACATAACCGTCTCTCTTTGGCTTACATTCACTTACTTGGAAGACAGTTTGATAAAACATCTGTGGTCAGGGAAATTGTCTTGAATATAATTTTTAATCAGAGGAAATTTAACCTTTTAGTAACTGGAATTAGAACAGCTTTGTGCTGCAATCTTTTAGAAGGAGGATGCACAATCCATAGATTGTAGCTCCCAGTAAGAACTAATACTTACTTTGCACTTTAACTCCTCCAAACCCCTTCCAATCAAACAAAATAGGCCAAATGCATCATGTTACTAGACATTTCTGTCATTCCCAGTCTTAACAAAAAATTGGCAGGAAAAAATATCCATTCTACTTTAAAAGTTAGGATGCCTTCAGTTTGAATCCAGCTCTTGAGGTCTACATGATTATAAACCTATAATTTGCCTGGCAACACTGTGGAAATGCTTTGCCATTTTGGTCTTCAAAGATGCTGCTCAACTTCATTGTCTAGCTTTCTGGTGGTCTCCTATCCAAGATCTATCACATCCAGGGCTGTTTTGTAGCCAAACCAGCTCATGCGTTAGAAGATGAAAATGTTGATATTTCAGCATTGCATGGTGGCAATGAAATAAATAAAAAATATGTTTCCCCTCATTTCCCTTCTTAGTCAGAAGTTGAGATGGAGCCAATCAATATTTTTCAGTTTAAGTGAGGAATAAAAAATCTGGTAATTAAAAAGAGTTGATGAAGGAGCACATGTGCCATTTTGAATTTTTTGGAGGAAAAACAGATTAGAATAAACATTGCTATAAATACTGTTTAATACAGAGGTGTCAAATTTGCAGCCCACAGGCCAGGTGTATCATGCGCTGGCCACCCCCACCCCTTTTTAATGAAAGGGGAAAAAGTTGTGATATGTCATGTGATGACAACGTGTTGTTGTGAGTTTGACACCCCTGGTTTAACAATAGCAATAGTAAAAATAATAATAATCCAGTCTAAACATCTGGCTGACAGTGTGACCTACCATAATAATGATAGCAGTAATTTTAGCATTTGATAATCACGGATCAGAAATTCCCCACCTCCACAAAAAATTTTAGCATCTTTTTTTTTTTACTTGTAATGTACAGACTTGCGTTTTGCATTGACTTGTTAACCAGTCGTAGCTTCAAATCCTGACATAGAGACTAGACAACATTTTAACCGAAGTAGCTCCAATGCAGTGGTCCAAAGAAGTAAAAGCTCTTTCCAAAGCTTCAGAATTGTCATGGAGGTTTGCAAACATTCTCTTCTTTCTGCTGAATCCAATTGCAAAGATCTCAATTTCCTTTTACGTACTGTACATATCAGGTGGAAAAGAGGGATAAAGGAGAAGATGGGATGAAATTCTGTCACCAGTTTCCAACTGAGTCTTTCTGTGTTTGCTTCCAGTAACAGAAAGTTTGTTGATGGAACATAGCAAAGTTCATGGCTAGTTGACGTTCTGTTGAACAAAAAATGCTAAAGAGTTTTGGAACTGATTGTTCAAGTTCATTTTTTCCCCTTAATCCTCTGATCCTGCTCATTATTTTTTGATCATAAGCCAAGCTTTTTCCTAAAATTCAGTCCTCTTTGCATTCTGTTTCTCTCCCTTTAGTGTCTAGTTACTTGTGAATTACTAAATATTTGGTAGACTTCTTTAGCCACTGCTATCTTCTAGTTAGCTTTAGTGGCATCTGATTTTTTGTTAGTGTTACTCATCAATCTATTTGCACTTATGAATTTATGAAGTCTCTATGAAGTTGGGTGCATTTGCAGAAGCAAGAAATAGGGAGTTCTACTTTGGGACCATACTTTATTTTACAATCACATGAGTGTCTAAGAGCTACAAGGAATATAAGTGTAACAAGCATAGGACCAAAATATGAAAGTATTTTTTTCCCATAAGGAGGTGGTTGGTGAGTTTTTAAAAATGTGAAACGGGTCTGTTAAACCCTATGTAGGTTGCAAAGTATCCAACCTATGCGACCAGGATGAAGCAGTGCTTCATGCTGGTGTCCAAAAGCATATCTTCAATATATGTGAAAGTATGTGCTAAATAAATGTTTCTGATGTTTGAATCTGTATCACTTCTGCTGTTGATGAGAAGAACTTGTGTACTTAAGTGGAATCTGAGCAGGAGCTGTTAACAACTCAGCCTTGTTATGGTTTAATACAGGGTCAAGATCCAGAGGTTTGTATGGAACTCCATTTTGATTGCTTCCAACATTGTATTGCTAAAATGTGCCAGCAAGTTGAGTATGTTTTTGCATTGAAAGGAAAGATTATATTATCTTATCCTTCCTCATTACTTTCCTCATTAGAAGATGTCAGCTGTTATTTAATGGGGGAGGGGATTATTTAACATAAACTTGTAATTTTGTTATGATTTGTGGATTTGTCAAATATTTTAGATCAGGCAGAACTTAATGTAATTTTTAAAGTTATCATTCGAGCTGTTCTGCTAATATTTGCTAATGATTACCTAATGACATGGTTTAAATATTGATTTAGTTTAGTACTTATAGTTTCAATTTGATAGAAAGGATTCCAACATGCAGATTTATATTAATGTGTTTTGGAAATGTTTTAAACTAATTGTACAATATTTTAAGTATCTTTTTAAAACTTCTTTTCAGTCCTTTCTGTTCCTTGTTTTCTTTTCCTCTGTAGTTTCAAAATTAATGAATCAATGCAAAAATAATTAACAACCTTTAATGAAGACAGGAAGTTTAGAAGCAAGGAAAAAGGAAGCAATGGAAGACATGACAAGAACAAATCCTTACCTCTTGTTGATTTTAAATGAAGAATAGTAGTTAAATGTGACAGACTAACTTGGGTAAGCATTAAAGAATGACCACAGATTGAGAGATAAAGGCATATTTCTTTAGCTGTGCAATATATATTGCATAATGACATAAGAGCTAGTTTGGTATAGTGGTTAAGGCACCAAACTAGAAACTGGAAGACCATGAGATCTAGTACTATCTTAGGCACAAAGCCAGATGGGTAACCTTGGGCCAGTCCATCTCCTCTTGACCCTAGGAAGAGGACAATGGCAAACCACTTCTGAAGCCAGTTGCACTGACTTGGTCAGATAGTCACCAGGAGTTCATTCTGACTCAAAAGGATACACAAAAACCAAACTGCCCTTTGATGAAAAGGCAATTTAACAGCAGTAAATAAAATCAACAGTTGGCATGAGCTCTTTCCTGCAGTTTTTGTTCCCTTTTACAAAATAGGTTTAATCTGGAAACCAAAGCAATGACTGAAAGGGGACTTGAGGAAATATGTTACGACTGCAGATTTAAATAGTATATGGTGGTATAGGTTCTAGCTGAAAGCAGTACTTAACTTCCGGATCTTAAGTGGCTTTCCATTTTGTCTGCGACCAAGCACTTTAGAGAAGGGTGAATTTTCTGTGAAATGTAACTGGCACTGGCTTAGCCAAGGATGTGGAAATAAACAAACCATTCCATGAATCAATCTGAATGAGAATTGATTTTCAAAAATACAGTTGCAGCAGTTCAAACTTACAGATAAAGTAAAATAAAATAAAAATAGGCAACTTTACATAAGTGGATTTTTTTTTTTACTTCTGCAAGCTACAAAATAATGAAAAAAAAATCTCTCTGTTTAACATCAACTGTTAGGGATTAGCAATGCATGATAAATTGACTTCATTTCTTCCAATTTTAAAATCTATCCAATCTGTTAAATTTCCAGTCCAATTTAAAATCCAAGAAGTACATTTCCAGTACATTTGATAAAGTCTAAATATGATTCAAATGTTTTCATCTCTCATTATCTTGTTTTTAGGAGAAGAAATCTCTCTCTTTCTCTCTCTCTCTTTCTCTCTCTCTCACACACACACACAGACAGATGTATACACACATAAGCACACATGTACACACACACACACACACAATCTCTCATTCTCTTCTGTTCTAATAATAGGAACTTAATTTATAATGTTGTAGCTGCCTAAGATGAAATCACCTGTTTTACCAGAATAGGAAGAATATTTCATTGTATGGTGCAACAATAGTGGGAAAATACAAAGGTCATTTTTTGATTCTAGTGAATTGAAAGGCATGAAATAAAACTGTAATTCAATTGAAAGGTATGAAATAGATTGGGGGGGGGGGGCTGCTGCTGCTGCCGGAGTGTGTTTGCAGTAGCTCCTCTTGGTTTTTATTTTATCAATTTTTAGTATATTCATTGGACCCTTTTTATTTTAACAATATTTTTCAGAGACGATAACAGAGTAGACCACAACACAGACAAAGTTTTGGCTGATAAAGACTAATAAGGCATGAGGAAAAGAAAGAAGCGCCATGGCACCAGCCCGGGATCTCTCCCACCATTGAAGAATGCAAAACAACCAAAAATTGATGAGCACTTTGCTGACCAGAGATTTGTAAGTTAAAATATCCCTCCTTTCATTTCCAACAATCTGGAGAGGTTAGAATGGGACTTGCAAAAGATTTGACAAAACAGCAGATACTAGACTTTCCCAATCTGGGGGGAGGGAGCACAATGACAGCCAGCTGTTTTCACAAATGAGTCCAGCTACAGCCTGTATGGAGACTGAGATAAAGTCTAAAAAGTTTAACAACAAACTAATCCAGAGTGTGGAGAGCTTACCGTGGGTGTGAAATAAAACTTTAAAAATTATATATTTTACAGCATATTTCATGGAAATAAATAGCATGAATGGAGTAGATATAATTCATTGTACAGAAAATTCTCTGTCAAAACAAGCATCATGCTTATCAATGGTTCAGTTATATGGAATGTTTAAACATTTTTTTCATTGTTATAAAACAAAAGTATGAGGGTTCCACCCATATAGCAACAATGCATTTAAACTGATAGGAACATAGACTAGTTTGAAAATAGAATAGCTTTCCCCTCACAGCTCTAGATTTTTGAATATTTTTTTTCCCAATGAACATTATCACCATATGTTTTGTCCTTGTAGAAATTGCAGACTAGACCAAACATTATGACTTTTGCTGTCATAGAATTTACATTTGTAGCCTGTAACATCCCTATGCTGTTGGCAGTCAAGTAGGCTACACATGTTTACAGACTTCTTTATTATACCTTTCTATCATGTTATGTCACATTGTCCTTTTCTATTACATACCAGTTGATGTCATCTGGTTCAATGACCCATTGAAGTTTGATTTCTGAATTGAAACCTTTCATTGTCAGTTCATCCTAGAATCAAACTGGGCAACCTTTGAATGGGCCACAGTGTAATAAAGCTGTTCTAGCTATTGAATCTGGATCAGAACCAAACCTTATAGCCAATACACATCAATCGTGTGAATGTATATTAGTGTATCATGATAATCTCATATTACCTCAGAAGATTCCAAGACTTATTCTGATAAGTATAGCTCCATGTTAGCTCTTCTTAAAGTTTATACATATGTAAAAAGCTTGGCTCACATTTCTTAGAGAACTTGAAGAAAATGCTAAAAGGAAAATTGATGAGAAAGACTTAATATTCTTTGGCTATTTTTTATTGTTTTGTTAAGGGATTAAAAACCACTCAGTTTGAAATATGGCCATATATCTAGAAATTTATATCAGGTATGAATCAGAAATTTCTACCAAATGTAAAAGGATTGTAAGATATGTTTGAGATGTATCCCTTTTTGTCCTTCGGATACAGGGAAATATTTGATATTTAAACTATTAGAAGTATGGCAGATGTAAGTGAAATTATAGTTTTATAAGAAATGTTAATTGCTGCATTAAAAGAATGGTATGTTGATGCCATAATAAACAATCTGTGAAATTTATTCTTATGTATCTCACCAGTATTTCTAAATATTAAATTAATGACATGGATTCCAACATTTTACATACATACATACACACAAACACACACACACACACACACACACACACACACACACACACACATATACACATACTCAATTTTCTTTTCCTCTGAAATTGAATGGATGGAATTCCAATTTAGTGGCAATCTACAGATACACATTATGATGGAAGAGGTTAAAGGACATCAGATTAAATCCTTATTATTAATTGATGAGTAGTACAATTATTAATCATATTGACACTAATGTAAGATAATTGATGATAAGTCAACTTACCTATTCAAATGTATAATATACCAATGCAACCAAAGTTCAAAATATCAACTAAACAGAAAGTGGAAGAGAGTTGTTGGTAAAGTCAGTTTTCTGTTGCAAAGAATTTGACTGAGGTTGGTAAAAAAATGACTTGGATAAAATTTGTCCAGTGATATATGTTTGATACCAGGCATTATTAGTTTTCCATTTAAATATATAGTAGTGCCCCTTCACTGGAAGGAAATAACTTTTTGCAAAGAGTCTTCATAAATCTGGCCTAATTCATCAAGTTGGATAAAGTATTTGATTTGAGAGTGTTTGGCTGGCTCAAGTATCTGATTATTTGGATATCTGATACTTGGCATTCTCTGTATTATGGTTGGTCACACAGTCGGCCAGATGCTTAGATTGGATTTGGCATTTTTATCATCCTATCAAGCCTTTTCCAAGGACCTGGAATAGACAGATGTTGTTTGATGGTGTTAAAGATAGCATATCAGGATGTTCCAAGTAAAGTTACCTTCTGCAATTGACTGATGCTGACTTTTGTCAATGCTCATGATGTTCAAGTGATGCTCTAGAAGTTTTGGGATTTTACACAGAGTGCCTATTTACTATTGATACTATCTTTGCTTTTTTTTTTTGCCATGATTGTTCTGCTTCTACTTGCAGGTTTTTGTATTTTGTGGTTTTGTCCAGTTCTTTGTCTTTTTCTGCCATCTCTGAATTTTACAACATCTACTATATAGACTTTTTTTGTCTTTTGTATTGACAGTTATTAAGTCTAGGGTGTTACGTGGAAGCTGTTTGCTTGTTTGAATTCTGAAGTCTGAGAGGACTTTAGCTTTTTCATTTTCTATTACTTTGTCTTTTGTGGTCCCACCAGTTCTTGCTTGCAGGCAATGGAATTTCTAGTAGAAGAGAATATTTGTAGCTCAGGGTTAAACTGTGGAGTCCTGTAAACTGTAAGGTATAAATGTGAAAAGTCAAGTATTTAAAATCCTTCAAGCTCACACAACCAGCAATAGACTGATTAACAGATTGTGTAGTAGTAGTAACAAATCCAGTAATAGACTGAGAAGGGAACATACAATATGGGGGATGTTTTTGCTATCAGTAATGATGTCAGTAAAGCGGCAGACAGAATGTTTTCAGACAATGAAATAGATATTCACACAATGTGTAAAAGTCTTCACGACTGCGTTGGAGCCTCCTGGGCTAGGCTGGAGTGGAGTGGTACCCTGTAGTTTGTTCTCAAATTGATCAAGCAAGGAATCTCGATTCTCGAATGTCTCAAAGGCTTCAAACTGTCTTCATCATCTAATATTTTAACTAATCATTGATATCTGATCTTTCAGAAAAAGGTCACCACTGTATTCCTACATTTTTGGAAAACGTTACCCAGTGTTAACATTTAAACTGATTTTTGCTTTTCTAAAGCAAGCTAGAACATTTTGAAAAGGTCATCATGCTGTTTGAAAAATGTGGTCTAGTTAGATGATGAAATGTTGCATTGATCCCTTTGCCTAACAGGCTTCCAGATACTATTTCATCAATAATGAGAGCTATGTTTGTGAAATTAGTAGCTATATAAATTTGATTGATTAAAAAAATGAAATGAAATGATGAAAATGAAGCAATTGAGTGGATAGGCTTCAACATTCACGATTCCAAGCAGAATGGTCTTTTCCTGACACTCAGAGAATCTCTCTTTAGCTGTAAATTAAATACATCCAAAAGTATTTAAGAAAGTGAGGCTCATGCACACTTTATATCCATATAAGTTGCATTATTGATACGAGCCTGATTAAAATTCCTCGACTCTCAGCTGTCCGACTCATGAGTAGACCCCAAACACCTCAGCTTCCAAAATCCCAAACTCCAGAGGAGCAGCTGTCTGGAATGCAAATAGTTAGTCAAATGATCTCTCCTTTATCCGGAAAGACAATGCCACCCAAAATCTACCATCTCACTACAGATCTCTACACCAATGCCATCTTTCAGGGATATCTAGTCTACTATAGTTCCTTTCCTGGGAACCCGTTTCTAGTTTATTTTAAGACCATCAACTAGACGATTATTTACTGTTTCAGAATGAAAACTGCCTTTTTATTACAAATATTTATTCTTTTGAAATAGCTGCAGGTATTATTTGCTGATTTATTGATTGATGTTTATGCAGCATCTTGTTGACCACATAGTTTTTCTCTAGGAGGATGTGCCCCTAAATTGGTCTTTCAAGTCTTCCAATGATGCATTCATTGCACTGTAACTGAGTCTGTCCACCTTATTGCTGGCAGGTCTCTTTTTCACCTTTTTTCATGCTTTTTATGCTTTGACTTCAGCCTTTGAATGTTAAAGAGACTTACATATTGACAGGATTACAAACTGGAAGGTATTTTCTCTTCCTGTATCTTTACTTCATATGCCTCTTATTGCAAGGAGCAGAGCTGATTTATAGAGCTGAATAAATTATCTGATGAAATAAATTCTTTCCAAAATGAAAAATGAGGGACAGAAAAGGATCATTTGCTCTAAGAAAGAGTAAGATTCAGAAGAAGCCCATCTGTACTATTAAACTAGGTAATTTCTAGGGCTGTGAGTTAATCAAGAGTTGTGAGAGTGTGTGATACATGCTTCCTCAAAATTACTGCCCCAGAAATGTCTGGACCCAAAACGCCTAATGTAAGAAGGAACAAAAAAATATGTGCGATTACCCCTTACCGCTTTTTTACTCCTGGCTGTGTGGTCTCTGCCACTTCCAGTTTATTGTTGTTTTCATCTGGGCAGGTGGACACTTTCAAAATATTCTAATAGACCCCATGTGTCCTAGGTAAATGCCAGAGGCATTTGGGGAAATATAGACAATGTTTGAGGTTGAGGTTTTCCTTTGTGATTTGTCAGCATTCATCTAATTTTTCTTCTTGAATTTAAAACCACTTAACAAAATAAAGTCAGGGGGATATTAAGCCTGGCAGACACCACATGACCTCCCTGCTTCAGAAGTCATTGATACTTCCTATACTCCTTATCTTGTCCTTCTATTTATTTTCTTCCTCCAAATGGAAGGATAAATACGGATTCATGTTTATGAATGAATAAAAAGGAAAATGGCAGTCAGAAGGACTGAAATAAAGAGAAAACTTGGCATCTTCACCTTCTGGTTTAATGTAGATCCTAAAGACACATTGAGGTTTTTTTGAGTCTGATACATATCCATATTTCTCTATAATAAAAGACTTGGAAGACTGTCACATAAATAAATGAGATGGTAATCACTTCCAGGGATGCAGCATGCTGCCTTGAA